AGGTTGTACTATTACTGTTGTACATTTACTAGGTGTATTAGGTCCGAATAAAATTAAAAGACATAAAATTTATCTACCCAACACAACTGTTAAAAAAACAAGACTTTACAATAATTTTATCCATATCATCTTATAAACAGTTTAAGGCATTGGCTGCCAATAAAAAACTATTGAAGGCAAATCCTCCGCTAATGTCGGTCACCAGTGACTGCCATGGCGTTTAACGTGTTAAACTTCTTCAAAGACATAAAACAATGGTTATTTCAGCACAGTGCCATATAATATTCTTCTAATACAACCATGTATTTCCAGAGCGGACCTCTCAGCATTATTCACACCTCGGCAACCAGCGATGGGGTCTGCAGAGGCCAAGACTCTCGCAGACGAGTGGAACGAGGACCTGGAGGCCATGGAAGCATTCGTCCTGGAGGGGAGACACTTCGTGCGACTGCCTGACAACGAGCTCGGAGTCTTCCACAGCTGTGACTGCTACGTCTTCCTCTGCAGATATGTGTTGCCTGCTGAGGTACGATATCTTTGTTTGGTAACATTTGTATGACACATTTTCTGTTAGTTCTTAAGTTTAGGTTCTGGTACTATGTTCTATGATGCGAGCGAGAAGCTTGTGACTACTTATCTAAAATTTGTGAGTGTCTTATCGAATTACTTACATCCTTTTCCTACTACCTTGTAGATCATTAGTTTGTGATCCGAAATCAATTGATATTGTATTTTATAATTTTTAGATAAAGTGTATTTTTAACATCTAAACTACCTTTCAATCGGTTTAATTTCACTTAATTTTGATGACAAAGAAGTACAGTTGCTTTTATATTAATTCGGAATAGCTGAAATGAACTTCTTCTACCATTCTAATAGCCGGAAGACGAGACTGACGCGACGAATCCATGTGAGGACGACTCGGAATCTGAAGCGGCGACGTGGGTGGTGTACTTCTGGCAGGGACGACGCGCTCCCAACATGGGCTGGCTCACCTTCACCTTCGGACTGGAGCGCAAGTTCAAACAACTCTGCAAGAGGCTCGACGTCGTCAGAACTCACCAACAACAGGAGAGTCTCAAGTTCATGGCTCACTTCCATAGGCGGTTCATCATCAAAGATGGCAAGAGAAATCAGAAGCCGGTATGTTATTTTTAGTGTTTCTTGTAATATTGCCGTTCTCTTGTCATAGTTAAAAATATTATGTCTGTCTTATAGTCTTACTAGCGACCCGCCCCGGCTTCGCACGGGTGCAATATGCATGTATTATACATACAAACCTTCCTTAAGAATCACTCTATCTATTAAAAAAAACCGCATCAAAATCCGTTGCGTAGTTTTAAAGATCTAAGCATACATACGGACATACAGCGAAAGCGACTTTGTTTTATAGTATGTATTGATGATGATTGCTTAGGGCCATTATTTTATCGTGTCTAAGTCACATCTGATTTCCTTCAACATACATAAACATAACATCAAACCTTCTATCTTCGAAGGGGTAGACAGAGCACATTACGGCCTTTTTTTTAAGAGGGGAAAATCATCGAATTACTGCTCCCGCCTGGGTGAGGCGGGAGGGAGTGTCAGACTCTTACTGATTAAAAACCACCCCGTTCCTTCTCCTGCATGTCCTGAGCTGGAGCCCCGGTAACCCGTTAGGTTCTCCGCGACAACAATGCCACTGTACTATAACACCCACTTTTCAATATTTTTTTCCTTCAAGTTTGAATTATTAAGGATTTTTTTTCAAATACGCATTTATTCTATTTCACTTGATTCCATTCGAAGTATTTTACTATGGCATCATAATACAAATATGTTTCCAACTAGGAGAGCGGTCGCCAGCCGGTAGAACTATACGAGCTGCGAAGCAATGGATCGGCGCTGTGCACGCGACTCGTACAAGTCAAGGCAGACGCTTCACAGCTCAACAGTGCTTTCTGGTAAGTCGCTGACTGTGAAGCCCACACATAATTTCAAAGTTAAAGCATTTATCTAAATTAATCCTTATTATTCACTTTGAAACGTCGAATTGAATTGTCTGTCAGTTGTCTGTCAGCGAAGCTGGGTGCTCGTTGTATAGTGAGAAAGTGAAACAAATGGAGAAGAACGAGAAAGAAACTCCATCTTTAAAAAAGTGTTTTTTTAAATTCTCACAGATACATTATATGACCCTTTAACATACATAATTATCTACTACCGCACGGTTTCACTCGCTACTCAGCTCTTATTGAGTAGTGTGATTTTTATGGTCTATCTATAGCCACCTTCAATAAATTTATTATACCAGAGCATATTAAACAGATCTCCAACCCGTCTGCTAAGTGTGAAAATTATGACAAGAACCTCTACTATTTTAGTGGAAGTCCACAGTGCAGTAGTGGACTCTAAAATAAGTAGCGTAACGCTCGTCCATATTCCAGCTACATCCTAAATGTGCCGCTAGAGGGCGCTAACGACACGTCCTCGGCCATCGTGTACGCGTGGATAGGCAGCAAGACTGACGCAGACTCCGCGCGACTCATCGAACAAATTGCTGAGGAGAAGTTCAATAACCCTTGGGTTAGCTTACAGGTAATGACTACAAAAAAATCGATAATTATACGACTATTGTTTTTTTAAGAAATTTTAGGACACTGCAATGTATCAATCAATAAGTCGGATCCCTTAATTTTAAAATGAGGAAACATTTTTAAATTATTGCTATCTGGTTCGAGGAAAATACAGATGCAGTGTACCTATTATTACATCATTTTAATGTAAGTAATAATAATAATTATTTATGTTAAAAACAGGTGATAACAGAGGGCAGTGAGCCTGACAATTTCTTCTGGGTGGGTATCGGCGGCCGCAAGCCGTACGACACGGACGCAGACTATCTAAACTACACCAGGCTGTTCCGATGCTCCAACGAGAAGGGATACTTCACTGTGTCTGAAAAATGTACCGATTTCTGTCAGGTAATCATGGTTTTGTGTTCAAAACGCTTTATATAGTAGGGGAGCCCATGAAGGGATTTCGGTAGTTACTCGAGCGCGTCAGATTAACATATGGGGAAAACCTAGTGTCATGTTGAATATACCCAACATATATCCGATCTGATTAGAAGGGGGGGGCTGAAAATTAAAAAAAAAGTCTGACTAAATAAAGTCAGTTTCGTCAGATTAAAGGAAGGTAGGTCAATACCGTGCTAAAGGAAGTGTGTTTAAAAAATCTGCCCATTCCAACTTGATTTGCAAGAGTGGGGGGATTTTGAAAGGTTCTCGTTTGTACTCTCCAGAACATTCAACCCCACCATCAAACTGGCAGATTAAGAGTTTTTTATTATTAAATACACATGGAGCATGTGCATTATCAATATCTGACACGCTCGACCACTAGAACAAAAGTTACGCTTAACAATTACAAAGATCTGTAGATTCCCCCTTCCCCCACTGGTGGAAGAAATTGTCACTAAACCATTTCTTCTTTCTATCAGCATATCTTCAAAATCCAGTAGGTCCCAAGGACGCTCAAGTAAATCCCAATTTAGCATCGTGGGCTCCCCTACTAATAGTGGAATTGTATCAATGTCCTCTGCTGGGCATAAGCATATAAAATTATACTTAGCACAACCCCCAATCCGGGGTTCTGTGGCACTCCTCCGTGCATCTAGACTCGCTGCCGATACAGTTATTTATGTATTATCTATTGAGGTTTTAAAAACAATAAGCAAGACTGAACGAGTTATTATATATGATATGTGTAAAATAAATACAAAAATAATAATTTGTGTGTCTAGGATGATCTGGCTGACGACGATATAATGATATTGGATAACGGCGACCAAGTGTTCCTATGGCTTGGTGCCAAGTGCTCAGAAGTCGAAATAAAATTGGCGTACAAATCTGCACAGGTAATTATTACATGTATTGTTAAGAAAAACTCAAAAATGCATTATTTTTTATAATATTTCTTCTAATAACAATACTTGATATAAATATAAACAAACTTTTCTATTTTTTCAACAACCAAGGTTTACATCCAACACATGAAATCTATGCAACCGGACAAGCCACGGAAGTTGTTCCTGACTCTCAAGAATAAAGAATCGCGGCGGTTCACCAAGTGCTTCCATGGATGGGGAGAACACAAGAGACCTCCTGAATAAATAACTCTATAGATCTGTATTCGCCAACGACTAGTAACCAACCACTACGGCAGAAGTACATTAGCGTGGCGCAGTGTGTCGTGGCACGCCTGAAGCAAATCTTTCATACACTTACTATTAGGTTGATATATACCCAAAATTTGTCCATACAAAAGTAGTCCCTCAGCATCGGAAATAAGATCTATAATTGAGTTAGTGGAGAGAGGTCACCGGTGACTGGTTGGGGATTGAACAGTTAAGGTTAGAGACACACTTATGTCGTGGCATGTTGCGTGGGTCACTAAATGCTTGTGTCCACGAAGCGCCCGGAATCGCCACTCCACGATAATGTATTTCTACCTTTAGACATGCCTATACCGATTTTTCTTTTTCTATGAGTGAGTTTAAGTACTTTAGTTACTAAGTGAAATCAAGGCACACATTTAATAAAAAGACAAGACAATGTTCCTTATGTCACTCAAACATATTGGACTTATTTTGATATTAAATAATATTAACATGAATGTCATTAAATTCATAATAACATTATTTTATAATATGAAATCAGTATTCAGTAGTTGATATTTGTTTTAACTAGTATATATTGAAGCTTTGAAGTTTTTATAAACACATTTATAGAAGTGTCAATAACAGAAATGTGCAATAACAAGTACTACACGTAATTATTGTGAATGTTGTGGTTCCAGATAGACATATACAAGGGAGTATAATTTTGATATAAATTGTATCACTGCTCATGTTTTAGAAACTCATTTATACTTTGTTTTCTTGACTCTTGTTCTCTCTCCTTTGTCACCTCATCTTTGCAGTAGAGAATTATGTGGTTTGTCAAAAATGAAAGACTGAATCATGCCATTATTTCATTTATTTGAACATTCATCATGAAGTATTAAGCACAAGTGTTTTATTGCTACATATGTGAGAGTAACCTCTGACTAGATTAGCTGAGATTGCCTTGTGTGTGTTACTCCTTTGACAAATGAAACATGCATTTTTTTGTAATGCATTTATTAATGTCACATGATTTGATTGATGCATATTTAATTTAGCTGTATATAGAATGCTATTTTATATGATCACAATGTAATGTATTTATGTAAATCATGTAAATAAGAGATTTTTAATATAATAAAATCCATAAATTAAACAAAATTCCTAAGTATTGTGTACAATGCTATTTTGATGTTGAGCACAAAATTTTAATGTTTTTGTAACAATCCTTATAATAAAATATAACAATAAACATGATTCTTATTTATTATAAACCCGCATTAATATAACACTATCTGAAACAAAATTGTTATTACATTAATTAAACATTATAAATAAACTACAAGCACTTTATTTGGAGATAGAAAACTAGACTTAAATGGTAAACGTAAAGTCATACACAACAGTAGTGTACCTGATTATCTTAATCATCGTCGTCGTCGTCATCGGAGGGAACAAACAGTTCGTTCTCTTCCAAGAAATTGGCTATGTTTTTACTAATGGCTGCTCCGATGAGCAAGCCCGGCACTACGGCCAACACTATACCTACAAGACCACCAGGGGTCTTCTCTGGCTCAGGCAAAATAGCACCAGTCGGTGTGGTTGTAGCAGTCCTCCTTTGAACGATGTTCTCGAATTTCGTCAGATTTCTTGATTGCACCACCCACCGAGACAATCGAAGAATAGCCATTTTGTTGAAATAAATAAGTATTTTTGTATTAGATTATTTTTAGCAATAATATTTTTTACAGTCTCAGACAGTCAGACGATGTCTGTTCTTTTGACAATTGACTGATGTCTGATAGTGACATGTGACAGTGATGTAAATGTCAACACTACCAGCTTACCAGTAGTACCAGTACCTTGGATATAAATTATAAAATGAAAAAAACGCTCCATCAAACTAATAAATTATTTGCTATGCAAAGAAAATATCCGATTTTGCAGTAATCTTGATAATGTAAATGCAATCGATAATTAAGGTGGAAATCCATAACTAAGGCATATACCTAAGTGAAATTATGTTCACTCAAGCAATAGACAGAATTATAACTTTTAAAGTTGCAACACTGACACAGAGTCGAACCAAAATGTCAACTTGATCTGAAACGAAATGAAACAAAATTTTTATTCTAATTTATTTATATTTCACAAAAACTGTGTTTTCCTGTTATAAAAAATGAACGTCACTTTAATCAGTTTAGAAGCGTTAATTTGTAAGTAATATTTGAGTGGTTTACTCTATTTTATGGGAAAGTTTTGACTTCGTAATGAGAATGTATTTGTTATTCGTTTTAGTAAAAGCTACTCACGAATCTCTACCATGTCCGGACGCTGCGGCATTGGAGGCCTTTTGTGCGGTGATGAAGGATGCTACGGAAGGGGCGCAGCTGGCGGCACAAGCTCTGGCGGCCCGCATACACACTCCTAATGCTCGCGAAGCTCTGCTCGCTCTCTCGATGCTAGATCGCTGCATGCGACGTTGTGATGCCGGTTTCCACGCAGAAGTCGGCAAATTCCGCTTCCTCAATGAAATGATTAAGTTAGTTTCGCCTAAATATTTTGCTGATCGAACTTCCCCTGAAGTACGGACAAGGGTAAGATCACATTTGTTTTAAAAATTATCTTTGATTTTACTTTGTGTATAAATTTCAATGTAGGTGGCTGGAGCAGTGTGTACTACTATTTGTTTCAACATATCACCTTTATAGTAATAGGATTACATTTAGTTTGTTCTCATAATTTTTTGTGTAATTAAACAATATGTGTTTTACTTTGTACAGTTGGTATTTTAAATTATTATATTTGTCCTTGTACTTATTTGTGGTTTTAAGGAATATAGTTCTACTACCTTAACAGCTATTTTTCCTCATGAAATTTTATTAAAAAACATGTTTAACACACTATGTGTAACGACTATTAACTTTATCACCATCATTTTTATACAGTGATAAGACTGGTGTGATAATAATAATTTTGTGAATTGAACAACATACCATAACATGCCTATTATCCCCGAAGGGGTAGGCAGAGGTGCACATTATGCCACTGTACAATGTAACACCCACTTTTCACTGTTTATGTTATGAGTCCCATGTAATATGAGGTGAGCCTATTATTGCCATATACCGGGCACAATTCCAGACTCCGTGCTACTACTACGATTTTTTTAAAAACCCAGTAATACTTTGTCCGACCCGGGAATCGAACCCGAGATTCCTTGCCCGACAGTCGCGCATGCGACCTCTCGGCCAATGGGGCAGACAGTAAATTGAACAATGTTGTCATATAGACTTGAAAATTGATAAAATGTGACTATTTCAACATCATCATACATAAATTTAATGCATAAAGCATTCATCATGATGAAACAAGTTTAATTTATATTTTTTTAGGTTTTACAATTACTTCATGCATGGTCAATTGAGTATCCAAAGGAGTCTAAGTTTAAAGTTGCATATGATATGCTGAAGAACCAAGGTGTGGTGAAGGAGACTCCCCCTCCTTTACCTCCTGAAGATGTGGTACCTCCTCGTAATAGGGCCAAGAATGCAATCTTTGAAGATGAGGAGAAGTCTAAATTGTTACAAAAATTGCTACAGAGCAAAAAGCCTGAAGATCTCCAACACGCTAACAGGCTCATCAAAACTATGGTTAGAGAAGTAAGTATGAAGTAATTATAATCAAATTATTAATGACGACTAAATTAATAATTACTACCTGTATAATTATTAGGTTCTTTTAGTACATAATTAGTGACTAAGGTGTTATTTATTTTTGTTACATATTGTATCTCTTTGTTCTACCCGTTGGGCAAGCAAATGTTGGGTATGTCTCAACCATTGTATGTATTAATGAAATTCGCATTCAGTCAATATAAGTACATACTTATGACTCGTACCTACATAGGTACGAGTCAAAAATATCTTTTCGCATTCATAAAGCAATCAAATAATTAGTCATAGAAATTATACATCAATAATCGACAAAAAAAGAAAAATTCTGCAATCTATATATATAAATGAAACCCGTTTCCCATTGTCACGCCTTGAGAAGGGCTAGACCGATTTGGCTGATTTTTTTTTGTTGTTCTTGTTATTGTTCCTGACAAAGTTCTTAAGACAAAAAATTCTTGAAAATCCTACGGGAACGGGATAAAACGGGATTGCGCGTACGAAGTCGCGGGCAGAAGCTAGTTTTTAATAATATGTATTTATTCCCACTCCAAGTATCAACATTTACTGAATATTGTAAAAAACAACAAAATAATTGCCATGCTTACTTATTTGAACTTCATTACTCCTGAATACTGAGAGGCTACTCAATTTTAAGTTGTACTTAAATATCGTGCCATCTCTGTCATTTTACAATGAATTTGTAGAGACAGAACTATACTTAAGCACAACTTAAAGTGTGTCTGAGTATTTCAGCTGAAGTGTATCAAAGAGATATCAAGTCAATTAAAATTCAATAAATTCATAATAGGGTAGATGCCTGATTTTTATTTTAATGTCCGTCTGGCAGATTATTTTAAATCATTAGACACGTATTTTTTGTTTTCTTAGAGAAACGAATACTTTCGACGATATATTGATTTGAAATGTCGTGTGACGTCACTTCTATGTACATTTTATATGTAGAAATAACGTTTTAGCCCCCACTCCTAAATTTTGATCCGTGTTATCTAAAAATTTACGACAAAAAAAAATACGCGTCTAATATTTTTTCATTACCTAACTTACGGACTAATTATATTTTGAATTTTCATACCCTGTCATCATCCCAATTATGAATTTGTACTACTTAAGAAAGATATTTCATCATGACTCTAATGGAACTTAGCTTACTGAAAATGTTTATCCATTATCATTCATGGGTAGTGTAAACGTGATTACTGATCTTATTATACATATCAAATGGTGTTTTCTAACTCCTAGGAAGAACGTCGTAATGAAGAAAGCAGTCGTCGCGCCCAAGAAGTGGGCAACGCTTTAGATAGCGCAGAACTACTTAAAGAACTGCTTGCAAACGCAGAAGACGCATCTCCAGAGGAAGAACAGTTAATACATGAGCTGCACATGTCTTGTGGGACTTTACGCTTGGCGCTCCAACGTCTGGCTGCCTCGGAGTCCCAGCCTGACTGTCTCAGTGAGTGGACCGGTTTGTTACTTCCATCATTATCATTGTAATGTGTGTTTGTGTCTGTCCGTTTGTCTGTTTGTTGTCATTATTTTCAGTACATTTCATTTGCTGTATGTTTACAGTTACAAGCTTATTTTGTAAATGTGAATATGTTCTGTTTTATCTATTGTTTTATGTAATGTTCCGTGTTCGCATGGTAAAGTAGTACCTATGATGTTTTTGACAATTTGCAATGGCTTATGGCTTATTTAAAATTGTTCCTGCTCTTTCTGGTTCTGGCTGGTCGTAAAATTCCTGTTCGCAGAACCATCCTCCCTTATAAATGGACGCTAAATAACAACTGTTAATTACAACAGTCAAGAAGAAAATATCATGTCATTGTAGCTATTGATTTATCATTACCTTAGTCAACCATTCATCTAATTAGATGAATTAAATTCTGTCTAAGGTAATTAGTATGTATTTTGTAATTATACACACTACACATACTAAATGAGGATTGACTGCACGGTTGGTACGGTGGCTGGACAACCGGCTGCCGTGCAACGTGCCGCGGTTTCTATTCCCACACGGAACAACTAATGTGATACACAAAGGCCTTAGTACGAGTTTGTTTCACGTTTAAAGTAATCGTAACGAGTACGCGTTCGGCGCTCTGATTGGTTGCTTCATTGGCGCCAGCCAATCAGAGTGACGAACGCGTACTCGTTTCGAATACTTTAAACGTAAATCAAACTTGTCCTAAGGCCTCAGACTGTTGTTCCGGGTCCGGGTGTCATGTGTATGTGAACTTGTAGTGTGTAAACGCACACATACAACACAAGAGAAAATCCTAGTGTTTAGTGAGGGCAACGTTTAAAAAAAGAAGGATGTCAGATTATCAAAGATGACAAAGGAAGTCAAAACTGCATTGTACAATCAATGGGAATATTCATGTTAGCCGACAGTAGGTAATCGTACTGCCATAAAGTAATCTGAAAGCACACAGATAGTACATGTCATTGTGTCCCACTGATAAGCTCAGCTCAGTAGCTCGTTATCTTGAAGCTCTCTTTACAAACTTACTGTGTTACATAATATCACGTCAGGTAATCCCTAGCCGAGAGAGTAGTTAGTGAGAGTAGATAGGGGGTTAGTGAGCTCATGATTTAATTACACTAAAATAATGTACTTACTAATCTATTAGTAGTTTGTATTAATTGGGTACTTGCCTTCATCAAAAATAAATTATTTCGACTGTTGAATACAATAAAATATTAAAAAATTCTTTCACGTTCATTAATCGATTTTATATTAACTTAATTTTAGTATTTTCCAACAATTTTTTAGACAATAAGTATGCCGTTTGACGCTAAAAGACGTGACGACACATACACAACCTCGTACAAAATTCGTAGAAAACTCCTTTTTGACAGTTCGGAAAAAGTATTGAATTTCACTAGTTGGCAAGTACCCATTTATGTAGTCCAATGGTGGAATCTGTCTAGTATTTTTTTTTCTTAATATTGATCCATCCAACCTATAGTTTCAATTGGTTGTTAACTATCACTTTCTACCACGTTGTATCTCTAAACCACAACACGCCTAAAAGGGAAGTTTCACGCTTTCAGAAGCTACGGCGTCGAAGTTATGCTTCGATGCTGC